GATTGAAATAGAATGGCTACCTCGACCAGGTATAATGAAAATTATATTTTCTTTGGGTGATGTTACATGTATTGTTGAGTTTGTTTGTTCAAGTTGGTTTAATGCATCAGAAATTGATGTAGCAATTATCTTATCACGGAATTCATATTGAGCTCTACCTATTTGAAGAGTTCTTGCAATATTGCATAAATTATAAAAATTATGTTTTGATAAATCATAACCTTTGAAATAATTCTTAAATTCCTTTTTAATGTTGTTTAGGCTATTAATAGATTTCGCCGAAAAAGGTAAAATAACTTTAATGTTCTCTGTATTCTCAGCTATTTCATTTTCAAAATTTAAATTATCATTTTTATATGATGCTAAAATGCAATGCCCATTTGTTCCCCCAATACCAAATGAGCTCACTCCCGCATACATTGTTCCTGTTTTATTGAAATTTTGTAACTCAGAAGCAATATAAAATGGACTGGATGAAATGTTTATTAATGGATTGACTTTTTCGAAATGACCTTTTGCCATGGGAGGTATAACACGATCCTCTAATGCTTTAACAGTCTTTATTAATCCAGTAAATCCAGCTGCAATATTACAATGACCAACATTAGATTTCACAGAAGATATAGCACAATGCCTCTTAGTTATTGGTGAATATTCAGCAAATACTTTTGTGAGTGCTTTAATTTCAACAGGATCACCAAGTTTAGTAGCAGTTCCATGAGCTTCAATAAAATTAATGTCATCAGGAAGAAGGTTAGCAGATTGAATTGCTTTTTTAATTACATCATATTGTCCATCTACGCTTGGTGCCGTATAACCAATCTTATTATTTCCATCATTATTTAACTCAATTGATTTAATAATAGCAGAAATTGGATTTCGATCAGAAATTGCATCGGGTAATCGTTTCAAAACAATAACTGATACAGAATTTCCAAGAATAATTCCATCAGAATTATGATCAAATGGGCGACATATTCCATTTGCTGAAAAAATAAGACCTGGTTGTGCTATATAACCAGTTTGTGGTAACACAATAGAAGCAGCACCAACTATAGCCACATCGCAATCACTACATTGAATACTATTCCATGCTGTTTTTAATGCTGTTAGAGAACTAGAACAAGTAGAATTAAGAGAAATTGCTGGTCCTTTAAGATTTAGATGGTATGCAATTCTTGTTGCTGCACTTCCAGATGAGTTGTTAAGTTCTTCACTATATTTTTTTGCAAGATTATTATCATTATCATATGAATAATTCTTGTATGTGCTTTTTTCAATTGCAACAAATACTCCAATTCGTCCTTTTTCATACAATGGATTGATTCCAGCTTCATCTAAAGCTTGTACACTTTTTTCTAATAACAGACGTTGCTGTGGATCCATTGAAATTGCTTCTTGATGACTAATTTTAAAGAATTCAGCGTCAAACTTGTCAATATTTGAGAGCATACCACATTTTGGTATATAATGAGAATCATTATCATTTTTCACATTCATCTCATCAAGCTCTTTGTCACTAAATGTATGAATCCCATGTTGTCCAGTCTTTATCATTTTCCATAATTCATTAACTGATTCAGCCCCAGGGAAACAACCAACCATACTTATAATTGCTATTTTACTTGTAGTTATAACTTTATCATTGTTAGACGTCCTTATAAAATTATCTAAATTCAAAGATTGACCTGTAGGTATGAAAAGATTTGCCAAAGATTCAATTGTTGGATTTTGAAAAAGATCAACAAGATCAACTGGTGAAATTTGTTGTTGAATTTTTCTTTGTAATTGTAATAATAAAAGAGAATGGCCACCAAGATCAAAAAAATTTGTGTTAATATCTGGTTTTTCTTCTAATGCGAGGATATCTTGCCATATATCTTGTAGATGTGAAACAAGTGAAACTTTAGAATTCCTATGTTGAGATCTTGGAGCTATAGATTTAATAGCTTTTTTGAGTAATTCAGACATAATATCCTTAACCTTAGCATGATCTGTCTTTCCATTATCTGTACAGGGCAAATTATCAACTGGTATAATATCTGGAATTTGAAATTTTGCCATTGTTTTGGTTAATTTATTTCGGATTATTTTATGGTCTAAATTTTTTGGCATAACAAATGCGACTAATGATTTTTTTTCTTCATTAACTTGAACTGATACACGGCAAATCTCTGAACATTCACTCAAAATTATAGTTTCAACTTCAGAAAGTTCAATTCTATGCCCACGAAGCTTCACTTGACGATCAAACCTTCCTAAATATATAATTTTACCATCTTCTAGAATGCATCCTTGATCACCAGTACGATATAAACGTTTTTGTAATTTTGGGTGAAATATAAAGTGTTTTTTAGTGATATCATCTTGTCTCAAATATCCTCTTGCTAGTCCAACACCGCCAATTAATATTTCTCCTTTATCACTGACTAATTCTTGTGTAATTGGATCACAAATATATATAGATGTATGATCACGTAGAGTTCCAATTACTGAACCCAGTGCGACAAGGTTTTGTTCAGTTATGATATCATAATTTGTTACCATAACACTTCCTTCAGTAGGGCCATATGTATTAAAAAACTTCTTAAGGCGATTCTTCCAAATGTTTGCCAAATTATTTGAAAGAACTTCTCCACCGACCTCAAGATATTTTAAAGTTGGACTACAGTTATCAGGTGACATAGTAGCCAAGATGGTTGGTACAATATTCATTGCTTCTATTTCGTTACATTTAATAACATCTAATAAGTAATTTCCAACTAGTAAGTTTGGATTTTTAGCAAAGCAAATAGTTGAACCATTGGCAATTGCCATTGCCCAACCTAATAATGATGCGTCAAAAGCCATGGATAGCACTTGTAATACCCTAATTCCTCCATTTTTATATCTAAAATGCTCATATTTAGGGTCCATAAATAAACTTGTAACACTTTTATGTTCTACCAATACACCTTTTGGTTTTCCTGTTGATCCTAAAATGATTAAAAATAAATGCGTTATTTATAATTCTTTAAAAGATAAAATTATAAAATCAAATTTTCTTACCTGAAGTATACATAACATAGCAAAGGTTTTCTCCATGGCATAATGATTCGATTGTGCCATCAAATTGTTTAATGACATCCATTGTATCACTTTGAATTGTTTTACCAGAAAAGTTTTCAACCCAATTATTACATTCCTCATCAGTAATAAAATATGAAACTTCAGAATCTTTAATTATATAATTCTTTCTTTCTGCTGGATATGTTTTATCAATAGGAACATAAGCACCGCCAGCTTTAAGAATACCTAATATCCAAGGAATCATATACATATCCTGATTTAAATGAACCGCAACTAGGGTTTCTATTTTCACTCCAATTTGAGAAAGATATCGAGCAATTTGATTACTTTTCTTATCTAATTGTTCATATGTCATTGATAATCCAAGTTCACCCATGTGTAATGCTAGATGATTTGGTAATTTCTTTGCTTGTCGTTGAAAAAGTTCTTGGATTGTTGGAAATGATTGTGGTACTGATAAATCATTTTCGGATTTAGATTTTAATTTAAATGTTAAACTATCTTGATCAATTAATAGTTTTGGAATTTTTAATTCTAAGTCATCATAATTTTTCATTATATTTATTACTTTTAAAAATTGTTCTCCTATTAAATTAATATTATTGTTATTAAAAATTGTCGGATTATAATTAATATTAAACATTATCATGCTATTTGATTGTTCGCTAAAATCAAACCAGAGTTCTACATCAGATCGTACAGCTTTGACTTGACAATTCATAGGCATTTTTGGTGTTTTGGTAATAATAATCTGTTGAACAAGTTGACGCTTTAATGTTTGTTGTGCATATCTTGCCAGATCGATAAATGGATACATTTCATTTTGCTTTGCAGTAAATATCAATTTTGCTATTTGCCGAATAGTTGAATGCAAATCAATTGAATTAGATGTATCAATATTTATATGAACTGGCATAACGTTAGCGAAATTACCAACAATTAGAGATAATGCATTTTTATCACAATTAACTGGCATAGAACGTGCAGAGAATGGAAGCCAGATATTGGCATTCTTTAGATCAATGAATGACGACAAAGTGATCCATACAGCCGAAAACATTGTCGCGAACCAGGTAACATTAAATTTATAACCTAGAGCTCTTAATTCTTCAACGTTATTATGGAAAACTTGATATTGAAGTGCATTTTGTTTATCATGTAAAGGGTGCTGAATAGATGATAGTTGCATTGGCCATTCAACATTTTTAGTTGACTTGATTTGATCACACCAAAATTTTTGTTTGAGTCTATACTCATTGGAATTAAGCCATTCTTCATGTTGAGAGATAAAATTGTCATATGTTATCCCATTAAGTATTGGCAAGGACTCGCCGAATAACAATTTGTAAAAATCAAGTAATAAATTATAATTGCTTATACCATCAATAACAATATGATGGCCAATTAAACATATTTTATAATCTAACTTAACTGGATCAACTATAACGTAAAATCGAACAGGGTATGATTTTTCAAGTTCAAAAGGCATTTTTACTAACTCATCTATATCAACAGGAGACATCATAAAATGAACAACATTTTTCGCATGTTCCACTGGATATTCTCTTCGATAGCATCTCGTATGTTTTCGGTCATCATCTTTATCATGAAATGTACTTCGTAAAATTCCATACCTTGCCATCAAGTTGTTAGCAGCAAAAACAACTTCTCGCGTAGATCTAGGTTTGTCTACATCGATAATAGTAATTCCGTTGTGATTATAAGATTTCGGATCATTGCAATATTCGAACCATAGACTTTCTTGAAATTTTGAAATAGGGTGTTTAGTACTGATTTGGTTTAATTTATTCATTTTAAATTTGAAATTTCAAACGACATAAATTTTATTTTAAAAATCTAAAGAAATCACGGTTATTTATAACTTTAATCGAACTATGAAATTTTGTGTATACTTTATTAGCATACCGAACAACACCCCTGAAAAACCCGATTTGCAACAAAATGAATGCTGTTCACAACTAAGTATGGCGCACATTTATTCGACAATCACAATTTTCGTGATCATGTTGATCAATAAGTACATATTTCGATTTTCTGCACTAGCTGCGACAAAAAATGGGTTACCGACATTTATAACTATTTTTCCGACGATTATTTCCCCGAAATAAACATTTTCTCGGCAACCATTTCACCGTCATAAACATTTTCCCGACAACTATTTCACCGACAATCAATCATGCATGCTGGAAAATAGTCATTATCGGGGAAATGGTTGTCGAGGAAATAGTTGTCGGGAAAATGGTTATGTCGGGGAAGTAATAATTGGCAGGGAGATGGTTGTCGGGTAACGCCAAAAGTATAGTAAATACTTCTTTTAACGGCTAAAGTTTTTTACATTTTTTTTTAAAAAACCGATCGATAACTTTATACATAAAATTAAGCTCCACAAAGCTAACGGTCAGTTTTTTCTAATAGAATCCTTATATAAAGGGCCATACCAATTTGAAGATTGGCCTTTTTTTCTAATCGCCATAGAAGAATTTTATTTATAAAATTAACCGTTAACTTTGTATAAAGTTATCGGTCGTTTTTTTTTTAAAAATTTTATCGGTAAAAAGTTTTAGCGTATTAAAGAAGTACTATACTTTTTGTGCAGGAAATAGAAATATATTATTAATCTTATTAATCAACATTACTACGAGAAAACTGACGGCACCATATTTTCTGAGAATCACCTCAGATCGTTGATAATAAATTTACAAGGTTATTTTACGCGTTATCTGATTTACACAACTTGCAGAGTTGAGTACGCTAATAATTTTGTGCTTTTTCTGATTATCCATTTAATAAATATTAAATTAACTATAATATAAATAAATTATAGAATATATAGTTAATTGATAAAATAATCAAATCATGTTTGACTATCCCTTAAACTGTATTCGGGGCAAATTTGCCCCGAGTTTCTGATTCCCGGCAAATTTCCCGTACTACGTTATGTCGATTCCGAATTGACTAAGAGTGAAATAGTTGATAGCGCAAAAATTTGGTGGTCCTGTGATTTGCGAAGTAAAAATTAAAGGCAAAAAAAAAACTCAAATTCGCAAAGGAAATTAGCCTTTTGCTATTAATAAAAGTTTTCGGCACAAAAATTTAGCGTTAAATATACTCTTCCCACTTTGTATTAATGTAAACATTAATTTTTAGACAAAAATTAAGATACCATTGTTATTTAATCTGCGTATCATTAATGTTGCAGATCATTATGTTATGAAATCAGATTTTTGTGAAATTTAGAGGTGTACCAAAATCTACTTATACTCTTTTTTTTAATAATTCTAACCCCAAACCCTAACTTAACTATAAAAAAAAAAACCTCGCAACAAAAAAGGCCCAGAAACATTTTAAAAATCGGACACAAAATAAGCTAATTTATTGTGATCTGATTTCATTATGATCCGCCACAATAAATAAACTATTGGGATGTTTCATACCAAATGATTTACTATTAAGTGACTTGTGGATGTGATACTTGTTTCATTAAAAAAAAAGGCCAACGAATATTTATCATTAGGCAAAAATTGGGTCAAATTGAAAATTCCGCCAGCGGATGATGCCTAGGTTGACCAACGGACTGACCACCCGAGTGGTCATAATTCATCTCGGATCGAACTAACTTCTAAACTTATTTTAGTTGATCTTTAAAACCTTTTGTTATTATTATGAACTAATTTAATGAGAAATGAATAGCTCATATTAGTATTCGATCCTGATAATGATCATTAACCTGCAGCCTGAATAAACGTAAATAAGAATGAAAATGATGTTATAGTTGCACCTACCGACTATATTAACGTAAATAAAGATAGATTAAATAAAAGGTAAATAACGATAATGTATCTTAAATACTTTAATTAATAAGGAACATGTGATATGTATTACCATTTTAAGCGGAATTAAATAAAGAATAAGCGCACATCAGTGCAATCGATGTATAAACTGAGACTCCAAAAATAGCAATATAATAGCGCCGGGTATCGCCATAACCAGTTGAATTTGCGATGCGTAGTATTAGCCCGTGGTATTCCACACTGTATAAAACAGGCTGACATAGATATGAAGTTTACCACAAAATGGAGGATTTTACGTAGATTTTGTCTCGATCCTCTAGAAGTAGGAGAGTTCAGTTGTGAATTTTGCGGATGATGATGGTCGCCAGTTGCTTGTAGCGTGTTTCTTTATACAATGAAGTTATTGCTGATTTCATCATGCTCCTAAATTAGGCAGTTAATTAAATAATACTTATCTGACTTCATATGCACATTCTCATGATTGTTAGATCATCTAGTGCTCGATTAAATTAGGTTAATGATTGTAAACTTGGACCTAAAGATTGCTTTCCAGAATATCCTTGCTTAGCAGCCATTTTATTTATTAGTTGACTTTCGTCAACTTAAACTAAATATGAATGAATGATGTACAGTAATGATAATAAGATAAGAATTCTTCTTATATAGTAATAAAATTATCAACCATCATGAGTATTCCGTACATTTTTACAATCATTTTTTCATATGAAAATAATGTACAACTTACTTCTTAATTTATTTCGAATTACCAATTTATTTTAATTCTCATGGCTATGGGAGAAATCTGATTATCCTCCAAAGCGTATCAGTGGTGGTCATAAATTTGAATATTTTTATGGATTTACTTGTCATTTAACAATGACCGAATCCGTGCAGCAAGAGTATAAAAAATCTATAAAATACCCACAGAAATCGTACGGCACGGTTTTAAAATACTGAAATGGGTATATTAGAGATAATAGAAGATCTGGATGGTTGAATGACCAAATTATGAGGGTGTAAAATACCTATTTTAAAAACTATACTATACTAATCTGATAATCTACGTTTATCATGTAGTTCAAAAAGAAATCACTATTACAAATTATATGATCCGGCGTCATGACATTATACGAAATGAAGAATAACACCCTTATTTTCCATAAGCCGATAGTTCTCCGGCTAAATAACGGTCCCGCCGTTTGAAAAATAGTTATTCACTTTTAATAGAGTTTCTTATTTCATTGATTGAGTCAGTAATGATCATAATACTAGCTGTATTTGAAATAAGCTATTTCTTTATATTTATATTAAATTAGTCTGCAAATAATCTAAAATATGGGTCTTTGCCTTGAAATGACCTTACGGGACTATGAACAGGAGGAAACGTTGATACGTCACAAAATCGTTACACAATTGATAAAATTTTTTTTTATATTAGTTTACAATACTTTTTTGGAAGGCTCGTTTGACTTATCTTTTCTATGAATATTGAAAATGATTAAACAAACATGAAGC